TAGTTATAGTATACTTTATGATAACCTATATACTATATTACTGTATCTATTATAAATAGACATTTAGCCACCGTCAGCGTTGCTAAGTTGCTTCTCTGCTGCTTGCATGCTCTTCCGTCAAATCGCGCATATTGCGCTTACTCCCGCACGCGGGTCTTATGAAGCCTTTAATACTTTGATCCATTTTCTCAAAGCCCCCCAATAATCAGCAATCATATGCTTTAAATCTAAAAGTATGCTTAATTCAATGTGGTGGGAGCCTATCTTATATTTTTTTTTTTTTTTACACAACAAATATAACTGAATTAAACAAGATTTTGCTGTGGCTCACCTCGAGAACAACGCCTTCTTAACTCCGGGCAGTTTTAAACCAGACCGGCACAGTAAGAGATTTCAAGCCCAAGCCTCTATCGGCTTGGTGTTGAATGATTGCTATCATACATACTTATAATTAATTTTGATTTTCTCCTTACTGATAACAATTTGTTCTGCCGAAGGCGACAAGGCTCTCCTGCTCACATCATCCACCTAAGCTTCTCCCCGCCAACCGGTGAAGCGTCAAATAGTCCTTCGTTAATTCTTCCCCTTACCTCCCATTCTCACCCACGTCCCACCATACCTTCAATCTCTTCCCTCCTTTCATCTTCTCTCTCTACAGTATTATCTATCGAATTCTCTCAATTATAACTACCAACTGTACAAAACCAGAAGGAATGTGTAGAACTTATTAGAGCAAGAAGAGAGCAAAAATACTTGGAAAAGGTATAGGAATAAAAAAAAAATAGCCTACTACTCTCTTTTATTCGCCTCTCGCAGACCAACATCAGCATGACCAGTACTACTTCCCTTCTCTCATTTCCCTTCTCCCCCAGTTTCATAAACTCCACACTTTGCTCTCTTCAACAACCTCCCCCCACCCCCCCACCCCCAAACCCTTTTGTTCTTCATGGTCTCAACTGTTTTTCTTCCCTCTATATAACTCCAACCCCCCAACTCAAAAGCAGGGAACAAAGAGAGAAGGGAAACTTTTGAAAAAAATTACCATAATGCCACAAACTCCCTCAACTAGGTGGTGTCCAACCCCTGAACAAATAATGATATTAGAGGAGATGTATAGGAGTGGAGTGAGAACTCCAAATGCTTCTCAAATTCAACAGATCACTGCACACCTCTCTTTTTATGGAAAGATCGAGGGCAAGAATGTCTTTTACTGGTTTCAGAACCACAAGGCCCGGGACCGGCAGAAGCTCCGCCGCCGTCTCAGCCGTCAGCACCACCTCCTCCACGGCTGCAGCTTCAACCAATATCCCCTCCAAACCCCTAACGTGCAGTTGTTTCATAACTTGGAGGAGGCTTCTCTCTCTCCTACTTACAGTCATCTTCAAGCTCCACTTCACTTTCTTCATCAGGTGATCTCATGTTATTTATCCTCATTTCTTTTCTTATGTCTGACTAGAAGTAGTTGAAAGTCTCATACGTTGCAAGTTTTGTTACATTCAAATTACAGTTGAAACCATGTGATACTGTAAATCCTTTTGTTATTCTAACTATTTCTAACCGAACACACCTTTAGATTCTATTTTTAAGTGCACTGTATTTTTATTCTGTATAGTTTCAATTCTTCATGTTGGAACATTGCTCTACCTAAACCTAATTGCATGTACTAACTGTACTTCTTGAGATGTTTTGCTTTTCCGACAGCTCTCTAGAGATTTCAGTATGTGTTGGCGTTTGAATGTAATTAGAAATCATTAAAGAAAACACCTTTATACTTAACAATAGTAGAAAGTGGGGATGAAAGAAAACAATAATTGCTTTGTTTGGTTTGAGAAAGGAAATGAGAGTGACACAAAAGATTTGTGTTGTATTTCCCAAAACTTTCTATACATGAAAGCATGTTGTTTCTTAAGTTTAACAAAGTAAAGACCCTTTTCCGTATAGATATTAGCAAATTCTAGGATGCTACTAGGGTTTCTAGGGTTTACACGCTACACTTCTTACATATCTTGTCTATTAATGTTTGCAGGGAGTCCCCGATCAAGAGACATCACAGGGCATGAATTTGCTCAGCAAGCTCGAAAAAGGCGAAGCATCGCCTCCGAAGATGAGCCATGGCTATGATTATATGATGATGATGATGATGGAGTCAAGCCATGATGCACATCCATGCTGCAAGCCTCTCAAGACTCTTGATCTCTTCCCTACGAAGAGCACAGGGCTCAAGGATGAGTGTAGCACCTCAAATCCATCCTCATGCTCGACTTCAACCAACTAAATAATTAAGTCCTAAATTCAGTGTATTTGTTTGTGTCTTTTTAGTTAGTTAATTATCTCTGACAAATGTACAAGTTGATGTAGTATTGTATCTTAGTAGAGATCTAGTAGTCACCAGCAGAAGAAGCTACTTATGTTGTGTAATTTGTACGTTCTATTTGCATGCACTGTTTTTTTTTTCCCCTCAAATTGGACTGAGTGGACTTAATTTGTCATTTCCCTCAATGAGTATATATAGAGTCATCTTTTGTTTCTAAAATCTGACAAGGGCAAAAGATGAGTACTTTTTTTTTTTTTTTTTTGAGAATAGATGAGTACTTGTTGAAGGACTTTTACAATCAGCTCTCTCCTTTTTTATTGGACTAGTCGATCTGACTCAAAGACTAGATAGGTAGCTTCTAATGTCTCATTGATCTAGTCTAGTTTTTTCCCCCACTGGTTTTATTTACATACAGTGGTTTCTGTTTGCATAGAGACAGAAGAAAGAAGAGGTAAGTTTGTAATTGGTGGACAAGACAGATTCTTGGGATTTGGTGAATTTTTGCTGCCCTCATTGATATTGGGATTTGATAACAGTAGCTACTTAGAGGCTGTTTGGCTCATCAAAATTTTTGGTATTTTTTTTCTTTGAGCTCTAGCTACAAGTTTGTTATCTCATATATGTGATAAGATTCTTGATGTACATACGTACATTTTATATTTTGGTGATGAATAAAATTTTTTCATTTACCAAAAAAAAATTTTTGGTGTTTAAAGGTACGTTACAAATTCTAGGTTCTTGTTTTTTGGATTTGGTGTTTGTTTCCATAAAAAAAAAATTAGAATATTGAATTCTTAAAATGCAAAAAACCAGCCTTTTTTAAGGATTTATCGCATCCTATAGATTGGAGAGGATTTGGTGTTTTGGGGCTCCATTTTAGCAAACATCCCTCCCACTCCTTCCCAAATATTTGTTATCCTACATTTTTAGAATTTGTTATTCTACAATTTTAGGTTTGAATCAAATAAGAGATTACAAATTTTAAGATTTATTTTCCTATAATAATGTTGAACTAAATAAAATATTAGAAATTCCAAGACGTGTGTAAAACCTGTGTAAAACCTTTTGGATTTGAAATTTCCTATGGGATTTTAAATCCTAAAATTTTAAGATTTGAACCAAACATGCCCAATAATTTTTACAAAAGCAAAGAACTAATGAGCATATTTACCATTTGAAAACTACTGAGCATATTCTGTAAAATATCTCTTTATTATCTTTCTAAGAAACTTGTGGCTTAGGCCTCACATTTTCTCTCAAAAATTATTGAGCACAAACTCATACTATAATGTACATGTCTAAGTTATTTTCGAGTTCTTATTAATAGCTAATCACAATTTTAGTTCTTTGATTTGTGCATCACAAATAAGATATTTATCTTTCCAAAAGAGTTAAATAAATAAAAAAGAGAGAAAAAGGATGGCAAGTACATGCATCCTGATTTATGGAAGAGATTCATGACATAAGAAGGGGAAATTTAAAAAGGTATGTATATAAACGATCGAAAATGAGTGAAGCTTTAACTAGCATAATTAAATTCCCACATGAATGGTCAAGTACTCTGTCTGAATGAACACAGCCTCTTAATTACTCTGTGATATTTTTAATATTAGATTGGTATCTATCTAGATATGTGTTTTACTTGACATGCAAAGGCTATATATATAGCATACATCTTTTTGTTAAAGCTGGCAAGTTGGTGAGATATAAATAAAGCCCATTTGTATTGATATTAAATTTACTTTACTTTATACAATATATGACACTCTCTCGTTTCCAATATAGATTTGGTGCAGAGATTTGACATAACTCCTATGGTTTTGTGATAAGTTTGGATTCTATTGTCATTGAATTAAATAAACTAAGATCATATATATGTAATAAAAATCCCTTTCTTTTAATGAAATGGTGAAATGTTCCACTTTTCTTCCAAAATAAAATTAAAAATATATTTCTATCTGAAACGCATATGCATCTGGGTATACTCAGATTTGATTTATTCGTCGTCTTTTCTCATTCGGTAATGAAACTTATTCACTTACCCAAAAGAAAAGAGAAAAAAAGAAAAAAGAAAAAGAGTATAGTGATCACATTATTATACAGACATAGGATTTATAAGGGGAAAAGATTGTACACATTCAGTTATGAAGAGGTAATTACAGGTAGCAGTAGTAGGGCTGTCCATCCGGCCCGGGCCGGGCAAAACCGGAGCCCGAACCCGGGCCCGGTTGCCCCAGGCCGGGTCCGGGCCTGGGCCGGGGCCCAAGCGGGCCGGGCTCCGGGCCGGCCTGGTTTCTTTATTAATTAAAATTTTTTAATTTTTTAAATTTTGAAGAATACAATACAAAAAATAAACACAATTTTGATAAAAAAAAGTTATATTATTAATCAATTATAATTATGTAATTATAATATAAAAATTATAGAAATTAAAATAATATAAAATAATTGTAGAATTTGTATAAACAAACAAAATTAAAAATAATTGTAGAATTTAAGAGCCCAAGACCCAAGGCCAAATCAAAGACCTCTAAATATATATGTTGTGGCTAGAATTTGAATCACTAACCTACTCTCTAAACTTCTAAATTTTACAACTAGACTAAGTAGCCCAAATTATTCATGTCATTCAATATATGTATATGTGTATATATATATATATATATATATATATATATATATATATATATATTATATATCATATATATAATATATATATATATATATATATATATATATATATATATATATATACATATATATATATATATATGATATATAGTATATTATATATATATGAGATTAATGGCGTTCCTTGTCATAGGAGCGGATTTCCTCTATGACGCCTCTAAAATCACATGAGTTGAGCGACATTGTGGCATGATCCGCTTCCGGTTGAACTTGCTTCTACAATATTCTAAACCCCAACACACCAAGTTTGGGTGGATGCGTCGTCGTTTGACCCTCCATCGAGCCCATGTGCAAAAGTTCTATTCACTTTCAAAACCCGTTGAAAATTGATACAGTGGATGAAGGCCGTCAAACGCACGACGGCGTGTGTCACCCCAAACTTTGACAATGCTAATAACTTCAACCGTGGTGTTTTAGAATATGTAGCATCAAGATTCACGGAGCGATCATCCACAAATTGTCTCTCATCATTGTGATTTTAGAGGCGTCATAGGAGGAAATCCCCTCCTATGACAAGGATACCATTAATCGCTCCTCTCGTCTCTCTCTCGTCTCTCTCTCTCTCTCTATATATATATATATATATATATATATATATCTCACCTTAATAATTTGCTTCCACATCCACGAATCATTTTTCTTAGTTTGCACCTGCCAAACATTAGCTTGCTTCAAGTAGTTGTCGTGCACCCATTTGACCCACAAATGATCCTTTTTAAGATGTATTAACCATATAAACTTGATAGCAGCAGATTGATTCCAAATTCTTGCAGAAAACACACCTAAACCTTCATATTTTTTATTTTGACAGATTGTATTCTAGGAGACAAGAGAAATTTTCCGATCCCATAGAAACTCAGAGCATAAGCTATCAATCTTACAAAGAACTTTGCTTGGTAAAATATAGTTATCTATCCAGAATATATGAACTCCCAGAATGACAGATTTGATCAACTGTAATCTCCCTGCATAAGATAACACCTTTCTCTTTTGCTAATATTGGAATTGCTCAGAGATTCTACTAAGCAAGGGAGAACAATCCAAATATGAAAGCCTTCTTGAGATCAATGGTACACTAAGATATCTCACTGGTAGTATTCCTTCAGAGAAGTTCAAGTAGGAGCATATATGTTGCTTAAGAGAATCATCAATACCACGCATATATATTGAGCATTTATTTGGGTTTGTGTCCAGACCAGATACACAGCTAAATTCCTGAAGGCAGTTGAAGATCTTTGAAATAGAATTCATATCAGCCCTTGCAAACAATAGCAAATAATCAGCAAAGAATAGATGTGTTATTTTTAACATGGAGCACTTAGGGTGGTATTTGAACAATCCATCATGTTGAAGTGTACCAAGCTTTCGAGATAAATATTCCATGCCTAATACAAAAAAGGTAAGGAGAAAGAGGATCTCCTTGTCTTAACCCTCTTGAGTCTTGAAAAAATCCATGGAGAGATCCATTAAGTGACAAGGAGAATTTGGGAGTTGTAATACACTCCATTATCCTCATAATCATCATATCAGGAAAGCCCAGTCCTATAAGCATTGATTTAATGAAATTCCAATCAATGGTATCAAATGATTTTCTAAGATCAATGTTAAGAATAGTCATTGGTGAAGTATTTTTCCTACCATAGTGTTTAATGAGCTCATGGGCTAACAAAATATTATTTGAGATACTTCTACTCTTGACAAATGCACTTTGAACATCACTTATTAGAGACCCCATGACATTCTGAATTCTGCCAGCTAAAGTTTTAGTAATAATTTTGTAAATGCAGTTGTAACAAGATATCAGACGGAAATCAAAAGGGGATTTTGGGTTGAGAATTTTGGTACAAGGGTGATGGCTGTAGAATTAACAGCACCAAGCAATTTACCAGATTAAAAGAACTCTTCCACAGCTAAGAACAGGTCCTCACTGATTACACTCCAGGAAGCTTTGAAGAAGGAGGCATTGAAGCCATCAGGACCAGGTGCTTTTTCATCTGACATTGAGAAAATTGTAAGTTTTATCTCCTCTCTAGAAATAGGAATACATAAAATCTGAGGATGTTGTTAAAAGCACATGCTACCCTTTTTAGTTTATATACCATATATACATTTTATCTTTTAATAATGACTATAAGCATAGTTCTGCCAAACATCTTAAGTGCTTTTTAAGTAATTTTTAATATTTGATGGTAAAACAACTATTTTCAGCAGCTAATATAAGTTGTTTTTATAAGCTGTTTTTCTAAGCTACTTATTATAAGATTCAGCAATACCAAACTAGCCCATAAAGTGCCACTAGAACTTAGTTTGTAACAACTATATCTAAATTATTAAGAAGTTT